AACACCATTAACTTAAAAAGTAGTGTTTGGTTAAATATAAAGCAATTGTAGTCAAATTTTTGATCATATCCTATGAATAATTCACAATGTTTATCAGTATTTGTCACATCACCCATATCAAATTAACACTACCGGGGCATGCCCCGGGTGTTACACTAGTCTTTAAATATACATGTGTTTTGGTTCTATATGCGCAATTTTGACGATGAGAGTTGATATTGAAATAATTTTTAACAATTTTTCAGTGATTAATCCTTCCACCCACTCTCTCTTCCAACAATTTCACACACACCAGTGGTGAACGGCATACCAGCTTTCTAAGAGTTTGTGTGTCACAGATTGCATAGATAAACAAACAGTATATTTTTAGTTTACATGCAAACTAATTATAGCCTCACACTTTATATGCAATCATTTTACATGTAAAGTTTTAATGTGTAAACTATCAAACGGGTCCTTAGATGTTTTTACGCGTAAAGTTTTCATACCAAAATTATAAAATACATAGAGTCACACATTTATCAGATCAATCTAGAGTCTAGACTAGATCAATTCTGACCAGACCAAATAATACTACCAAATTTCAGTTTAATTAAAAAACATTCTTTCTATTATCCTCAGGGTTTTTCTATACGTTTTCTTCACTTTTTATACACTTCACAATTTTCCAAAATGTGATGATGGATAGGCGTACCCGGGGGTATATATCCGAGGGGTTACTGCGGGGAGTAACTAGAGAGAAGTCAGAGCAAACAAGTAAGAGAGAGAATATGTATTCAGTGTGAATTCAGCGTATTCAGAATATGGTTTACAAAGGGGAAATGAGGTGTTATTTATAGTAGCAATAAATGCAAGACGGGGACACGTGTCAAGCATCCAACGGCCGAGGGGTCACATCAACCGGGTGTCACTGGCATTCGCATGTGGCCGCATTTAATGCGGCGGTTGGATGTGACGTTGTACTTGGTACGACGATCCAGGCGCATGTGGAGAGGATATTCTTGTCGAGGAAGGTACCCTCGACTGTAGATGATTAGCCGAGGGCTCTTCTTGTCGAAGGCCCCTTAAGGACGAGGGTTCCAGGTGCCGAGGGCTACTCATTTTCTCTATCGGACTGTTTTAATTATATTTTATTCTATCGGGCTAAATAAAATATATCACACATTCTCAACCCCTATGGGCTGTTAGAATGAATACACATTCCTCTACCTTAATTTTGGAAGTCTCCGAAATTCATTTCGGACTGTTATCCGATAAATCCCCAATACCGGTAATCGGGCCTTGTTTGACCAACCGGTCAACCCTATGCCCTTTCCATGGCCCGACTAAATTATCTACCACCATATACATATTATCTAGACGAGGATGTATATAATATGTGGTCCCAGAATTATTGGGTGGTCCCCGCTCCCGATGTGGGCCCCTCGTGCAATTTACTATTCACGCAAATTTACAACCTCGTAAATTCAAAATTCGTTTTTCAAGGTTTATTACATGATTTGTTAAAAGTAAATATACTTGGGGACGGTGTTACACCTATCCTGCCCCCATACCTCGTACCCCCACCCTACACCCTACACACAATTCCACACCCTTGACCCCCTACTCTTACCATGATCTTACACTCTACCCATACTCCCCTAAAACCTTTCATACACACCCATACCTACTCGTAGGGGTCGGGGTAGGGAAGGAAGGCAGGGGTGGGGTAGTGGGTGGGTTAGGGTGGTGGTTAGGGGTAAGGGTGGGGGTAGTGAGTACGGTTCGGGTTGGGGTAAGGTAGGGGTAGTGTAGGGACTAGGGAGTTGGGATAGGATGGCGGTAGGGTGGGGCCGAGATCAGGGTTGGGGCCGAGGTAGGGGAAGGGGTAGGGTGGGGGTAGGATGGTGGTGGGGGTAGGATGGTAGTAGGGTAGGGGTAGGATGGCAGTACGAGGGTGGGGGTAGGATGGCGGTAGGGTGGGGCCGAGGTAGGGGGCATGTGGGAAGGGGTAAGGTAGGGGTAAGGGGTAATATACGAGGTGGGGGTAGGGTCAGGGTGGGTCAGGGTGGGTTGAGGTGGTAGGGGGTGGCAGGCTGGCAGCAGGGTAGGGTGGATCGGGGTGGGACCGAGGTAGGGGCATGTTGTAGGGGGTGGGGGTAGGGTCATTGTAGGGAAAAGGGGTATGCGGGGTGGGGGTTGGCTGGGAAGGGTAGGGGTAAGGGGTAAGGTACGATGATGGAGGTACTAGAATGGAATCGACATCGGAGCGGGACCGAACCCACCACTAGGTGTAAGTATGCAAATTAATTGCAGCGGCCTGTAGCATCTGCGTTTTCCAAATTTGGAAAACTAGTAAAAGTCACTTCTCCAAATCATTAAGGAAAAGAGAGACGTGTCTCATTTTTTTCGTTTTAGAAAACAGTTTGGTAAACGCGTTTTTCTATTTTCCTTTTTCCAGTTTTCGAGCAATTTTCTTTGGTAAACACGTTTCGTGTTTTCTGTTTTCTAGTTTTCCAGTTTTCTGGAAAACTGGAAAATATCTCTGTTAGTAAACAGGCCCTTAGTATGCTGAAGATCAGGAGTGTATGAAAATATGATTCACAAATTATATCACCAATGTAAATTAGCACATTCACATATAATTTTACTTTAAATTAATATTTCCTAAATATAGAGACATTTTTTATACTTGAATTTAATACATAATAAATAAGTAAAATAATTGTCAATAAAGAAGAGGGTAAGATTATTGAATTGTATGAATATGAGAGATGAAGATATTGTAACCCATGAGTGTGACTTATGAGGATTTAACTTTGCACCCCATTTTTGTGTGATATATGAGCTTGTTGATTATGGGAGAATTTAACTTTACATTAATACTACGTATAAGATTAAAGATCAAATAAGAACAATGTTTAATGTGAGACGTGAGAATATTACATTTACCTTAATGTGATGCACAATGAAACATAATTGTATTTCCTAAATATAGAGACATTTTTTATACTTAACTTTAACAAATAAATAGGTAAATTAATTATTGTCAATAAAGAAGAGAGTGAAAGTACTAAATTGTATGAATATGGGAGAGGAAGATATTGTAATTCATGAATGTGTTTAATGCAAAATGGGAGGGAAAATAATATTAGGAGAGGATTCTTCCTTTAGGTATATAATAATAATAATAATAATAATAATAATAATTTTAATAATAATAATAATAATAATAATAATAATATTTACCTAGGAAATTCATAGGAATTGGTTATAAATATAAGGGAGAATTCCCTAAATAGGAGTAAAAAAGTTTTGAAATTCCAAAATAGTAGTATCATGTTTTTTATTACTTGAATATGAGTAAATTTTTGCCAAGTTTGTCGTTACTAGGCTTTAAAACATGACATTTTTTTCCAAACATGGCAGATTACTCTCATTCAAGGAATAAAAAATATGATACTCCTATTTTGGAATTTCAAAATGTTTTTTTGCTCCTATTTAGAGCAATTTCTATAAATATAATTTAATAAGTTTTTATCAAATAAAAAAAAAATTGAACTACAAAATATGAACCAAAGATCGTTTGACTTCTATTCCTCACTAGGATAGGGATCGATGATCAGTAAATAGATAGTATACATTAATCCACATTTAGCGGAAACCAAAATTTTGACTTAAATCACAAAATTGTTACTGTACGGTTTCCACCGTATGATCGGTGGTACAATTATAAATTGGCATCATTCATCATTCAATAATACAAAAAAAATGCCGTATACGGAGTGGAGTATATATGATTTATTTTAAAATAAAACAAAAAGGCTACCAAGTACCAACTCCCACTCAGGCATGCATCCATGCATATAAATCATGATATACTATCGTATACTCCCTTCCTCCCTTAAAATTTTGCCAATTTTCCTTTTTTGGATGTCCCATAAATTTGCCATTTTCTCTTTTAAGTAAAAAAATTGCGATTCTAGTTAACTCTCTCTTCTCTACACAAATATAAATCAACAGTTTTTACTTTATTAATCCTCGTGCCGATCAAACTTGACAAAGTTTTAAGGGACGGAGAGAGTATCATTTATTAATAGAGTTCTCTCATACTCATCATCAACTGTATGAGTTGGTGTGAGCTGGACAACTTGTAGTCCATTTCTATGAGCACATTCATCATATGTAGTTAATACTGCTCTACTGTCACCTAGATTCAGCACATACATACTATTCCCATGTAGAAGCATGGATAAAACACAACAGGAAAGGTGAGTGTAGTCCAATGGATGATCATCCACCCCCAAGTCTCTCCTTTGTGGGAGGTATTAGGTTCCATTCCCACCAAGGAGAGATGAGGGGGGTCTTGCTCCCAATGATTTTTCCTACCTTCACGGAGTTACTCAGCGGCTGAGAAGGAAGAGGATGATAATGAAAGTAGCGGGTTCGTGTGGTGGGAGGAGCAGCCTGAAAGGTGATGTAAGTCCTGCTGGATTCGTCCTTTGAAGCCAGTACTGACGAAGCTGACTGTGATCAGATCCGGATTTAACTGTTTAGGGGCTTTGAAGGGTAGTTCATAGACTCCAGGATTATGGGAGCGTAAGCCCCAACACCTGGTTTATAAAAAAAGGATAAAACACAACATCCTACAGATGCTAGGTAAGGGTCGGGGTGGTGGGCTCCTGAGGTGGGAGATTCCACCTTTTTTTTAGGTAAGGACGGTTCTATGCTAAAAAATGCATAAGGCCTATGCAAAAAGGATTAGGTCCCGGGTTCGAATCCCAACAACTGCGATGAGAGGTTACTATGCTAAAAAATGCATAGAGCCTCTGCAAGTATCGGGAATAGAGGCTCACTCCCTATCTGTCAGATTGAGATTATAGTCCAACTTACGTCCTCCCAACATGAGGTTGGGGGCCATCAGGGATGGGGTGTCGTGTCATCCTTTTTTTTTAGGTAAGGACGGTTCTCCATTTCTTGTTCAACCACATATAGGAAATCATTCTCGGCTTGACTAAGAGCTTTCTGAAGGCTATTTAAAACCATCTTCTTAAATAAGTCACCTGGTTCATCCAATTCCACGGAGGAATGTCCAATTGATTGTTTATCTAGGGTTTCATCCACAGACTCCTCAAGTTCAAAATCCAATACGTTCAAGTAATCCCTCACTTTTTCATACAATGTTCCAGCTAGAAAATCGGCAGCGTCTCTTCCATTAAACCCGTCATAAATGCCACAGAAAAGCCAACCATTCTCTTCCGAAAGAACGGCCTGGACTCTGTCTTCCCCAGCAGCACCGCCTGCAACTTGCACTTCTGCTGAACTCAAGAAGCTGTCATTATTGGAGTCAGGTGATGATGAATTAAGGCTGAGGCTTGAAAAGCTGCTCGGCAAGGACGACGACAACAAACCGGAGAAAGATCTTGAAGAAGGTATTCGTCTGAAGGATTTGGTGGAATCCAATGCCGGCAGGATCTCTGTCCCCATCAATCCATTGCAGATGTTTGTGTTAACCAAAGTGGAATTAGCACTCAAAGCGGCTCCAGAAAGACAGGAAAAGGAATCACCGGCTCTTCGAAGCTTGATCCCGCGGGGGATTTCAGTATTTTCAATCTCATCAAGAGAATCACGTCTATAGCCAAAACTTATGTTTATTTCCAGCCCAGAGACTGGTACTGTTTCCGCATGCATAGCTAGTCACTACCGATATGTAAAGATCAAAGACTTTTGGATGGAGAAGGGCGGAAAGATTCTTTGAAAAAGTTCTTTGAAGGAACAGAGATGAGCAATGAGAAGAAGAGATCTGTTCCGTACCGAAAATCGGTTGGATTGGGGACTTTTTCATGTTTTCAGCAGTTCTTTCTCGGCTATGGTCCTCCTGGTGAAAAGGGAGAAAATTGCATCGACGGACGAGCGGAAATAACTAACTTTTTCATTTCAATTCAAACTTTTGATATGATTACCTATTTAAATCTGGGTTCTTTGGTTTTTGGCGTAAAAGATAATATTAAAACAAATCAATACCGGTTACAATTTTCTTATTCCAATTACAACTACGATTAATTACTCTAAAGGGCAACACGAATAGTTAACGGCAAATTGAGCTTAAAAGTTAAAAGTCTTGCTTACCATCCTCACAAAACTAGAGCGAGCTTACATGGACTTTAACAAAAATGAAACACGACCAAAAAGATTCATAAAAAGGTAACAACAAAACAACTCGAAGATTACGTTGGTGCTTTAGATCTGACTTCATTATCTTATCGCAATCGACACTAACTTTCATGCCCCTTTGGTAATATCAAAATCGACTGAATCTGTTGATTTTGTTGAAATTTATGAAGTTCTAGTGAAACAACAGCGAAACATAGGGGTAAAATCTACCCATGTAGTTCCATTCGTTAAAGAAAGTTTCCTTGAGTTAAAAATGCACGTTTTTTGAAAATAATTAACTTGGTTGTTATTGATAATTATTAAAAAAAAACATATACGTAGTAGTTAATAGTTTAAGCCTACAACGCGATGACATGTAGAAACAGGTGATCCAAATGAATCGCTAACTTCAGATATAGGCTCTACTTACAAAAGTAATTATCAAAAGAATTGACCTCGAGGTGATTCACACAAGTGATTGGATTATCAAAAGAAACGACCCGAGCTTAACGAGTTTCGAACTTGAACTTGGGCTAGATTTTGAGTTTGAATAACTATTCAAAAGTCGAGTTCGAGTATAATGATGTTAGGTTCGATTCGGACTCGAACCTATCGATAACTTATAAATTATAGGAATAATGTATCTTAAACATTAAGGGTCTTACTATCAGAGATATTTTTCAGTTTTCTATCTCTGTTTTCTGTTCTTCAATTTTCTGTTTTCATTTTCCAGTTTTTTTATCTCCAATTTTTCGTTTTCATTTTTTAGGTTTTAATTTTCAAATCTAAAAAACATGGCCATACAATTTTTTTTACTTGTTTCTATGACGACCAAAAGACCGATAGTACGATCCCAGTCCGGAACCGAACCTAATACAACCGAAGTCGGGACCGAAACTGGCCGATCCCGATCGATCTCAACAATCAGTTTGATCACTCTTTTCTCATTTCCCTATTGGTTGACCACTCAACGGCTCTTTTAAAACCCTTTACTTTAAAAAATGATTTTGAAAACCCGAGATTGAACCATCAGGTTATTGACCGGCCCGGACAGGGACCATCGGGTCATTTACGGGGCTGGTTCGGAACCGCCTGATTGTCAATCGAACAGAATACAAACTGTCGAGTCATTTGCCAGACAGGATGGGGACCGCCTGATCATTGATCGGACATGATGGGGACCGCAGGTGGTTAACCGGACAAGACGGAAACAATCGGGCCATCGACCGGATCAGATAGTGACCATCGGGTCGTGGACCGGACCAGGCATGAGTCGTCGGGTCGTGGGCCGGACCGGACAAAGATCGTCGGGTCATCGACCGGACCAGGATTGCTCGGCCGTCGACTGTGTCGGACATGGACCGTCGGGTCAATGATTGGACCAGACCGCATGGTCATTCACCAGACCAAATAGGGACCGTTATCGGGTCGTTGACCAGACCGGACTGAAACTGACACTAGAGCGGAATCGGATCCAACACTAGGCGTAACTCGTAAGTATGCAAATTCATTACAGCGACACTGCAACATCCGCGTTTTCCAACTTTGGAAAACTAGTAAAAGTCAGTTCTCCAATTCATTAAAGAATACATAGACATATCTCAGTTTTCTAGTTTTGGAAAACAATTTGGTAAACGCAACTTTCTGTTTTCCTTTCTCCAGTTTTCCATCAATTTTTTGGTAAACACGTTTTCTGTTTTCTTTTTTCCTGCTTTCCTGTTTTCTGATTTTATGAATGCTTATTAAAGATCCGAATATTTATTGGTGTTGGTCCAAAATAGGACGCTCGTAGGCTTTTAGGAAAGCTACGTACGACACTCAAGCAGGAATTAGGAAAGTACGAATATGGAAAGTTAGCCAGAAATAGCATCTCTGTATTTGAAATTCGAATTGCCTTTTATAGGCGATTACAAATGGTAACTGCCGAACATAATAATGACTAAATTAATTACAACATTAATACGGAATTAAACACATAATTAAGTAGTGCATTGATTGTTGGCCGTTACTCTTCCTGGCTGGCAGGTCAGCCTGGCTGGCAGGCTGGACGCTTGAGCTCCCTCCTGCTGGACTGGACGGTGGGCTTCCCGCTAGGCTGGAGGAAGGCTTCTGACCGGGCTGGAGGCAGGCTCTCGGGTAGGCTGGAAGGCAGGCTCCCGGGTAGGCTGGAAGGCAGGCTCCCCGTTGGGCTGGAGGCAGGCTCCCACCTGGGCTGGACCGTAGGCTCCCACCTGGGCTGGACCGCAGGCTCCCAGCTGGGCTGGTGGTTGGCAGGCTCCTGGCTAGGCTGGAAGGCAGGCTCCCCACTGGGCTGGAAGGCAGACTCCCCACTGGGCTGGAAGGCAGGCTCCCGGGTAGGTTGGAAGGCAGGCTCCCCGTTGGGCTGGAGGCAGGCTCCCACCTGGGCTGGACCGTAGGCTCCCACCTGGGCTGGACCGTAGGCTCCCACCTGGGCTGGACCGCAGGCTCCCAGCTGGGCTGGTGGTCGGCAGGCTCCTGGCTAGGCTGGAAGGCAGGCTCCCCACTGGACTGGAAGGCAGACTCCCCACTGGGCTGGACGGCAGGCCGCCCTGGGCTTTCACTCTTTGATGGGCCTGATCGGTTGGGTCGGAATGAGCTCTCGATCACTGGGCCTGGGCCTGCTGGTCCAAGTCCGGGGCCTGGGCCGATTAGGCTCTGGGCCTAGTCCCATAACCCCATCACGAGTCCCCCACTCCCTTAGTCGAGTAGTAGACTCGGCTAAGAGGGAGTAGTTTAAGTCAGCTGCCGATTTAAAAATATTCACATATCAAGGAACCATAATTGTGGATTATGTGAATCCCGGAGTTTATGGAAATTCCCAAATTAAATTAGGCTCCCAAAAATGGCTCCAGAAAAATTCCTTCAGCATCCTAGCACTCCAGTCGTCAGTTTTCTTCCGGACTTCAGAATCCAGGTCAGCTCCCAAAAATCCTTGAAATTCATTTTTATTACTTCATAAATTATTTTCGGACTTTATTTTATTTTTCCTTCCTTTTCTTTTCTTTCCTTTTCTTTTCTTTCCTTCTTTTTTCTTTCCTTCTCTTTTCTTTCCTTTCTTTTTTCTTTCCTTTCTTCTCTTTCCTCTCTCTCCTGCGACCTGCGTCCGTCTTCCTCGCGTCACCCCAATGCCGCCGTCAACCAGGAGACCGGGTTGATTGGCCGGCGGTTTTCTCCCGGCGGCTCCTGGGTCGACCCCCGCAGCGCTCAATCGTTGCTCCGCACCACCGCCAGTGGCCGACGTCTCCCCTGCAATCCAGCAGATCTGGCCGGCGGGTCTGGACCCCCATGTCCGGCTGACCCAATCCCCTCAGCCGGCGGTCGTTCCACCTCTGGTCGGCATGGTGTCCTCTCAGGCAGACTGGAAGCCCGACGCCCCCCAAGTCGGATGTTGACCTTCTCTCAAGCGGCCAGCCCGTCAACTCCTCCGCCGGACGGCATCCCCCGAGCCTTCTTCCCCAACGGCCGGCGTCGCCCAGGAGGTTGGATTGCTCCTGAATTCTGGTGGCTGCCGACGTCGATCACGAGGGTATCGGTCACCCCCTGCCGACCAGCGTAGCCATCCCTCTAGGTGGCTAGGCATCCGCGTTGGCCGACACTTGTTTCCTAGATGCGATGGGACGGGCTGACATCCCCGCTCGCCAGGCGTTCGCGTTGGTCGGCGGTTGCCCCGACGTCGTTCTTCTATTAGGTGGTGGCAGCCCACGTCGACCCACGGCTGGCCGGTCGTCGTTGGCATGAGTCTGACAAGGTGAAGGACGCTCAGACAGGCAGCGAGACAATTCCATGCCTCTGCTAGGTCTTCCCAAGTGCTTAAAGAATCATTATGGTGAGAACAACCATGGAGGGGATGGCACTAGAGTCTGGATTCCAAGAGACCTCTTTGAGGTTCCTAGCCGCTCCCGTGATTAGACCATTGGACATGATGGTGCTGGGTCCACTTGGCTACGACCTTGTATTTTGTATTTCTTTTGTTTCCCACTTGAATATTCTTTTTTGTAGGAAAAGGTTGGAGGCTCCCTTACAACCCATAATTTCCTTTCTGTAGCCTGTAGGTCGGATGATTGTGCCTTGCTGGTTGTGGTCCGATGCCATCGTCTTGTGTGGGTTGGACGCGCCGGGAACATTGATCGATAATGGTGAAAACCCTACCTCCCATGTACTCCATATGGGAGCTTCGTGAAGAGGGGAATCGACAAGAGAGAGGCTGACCTCACCCTTACCGATTCACTTTCGTTTTGTTTTTAATATTCTGATGATAACTTTCTGTTGTCTGTAGGGTCTCAACGCTCGGGATGACCTGCTGAAGATTTTGTTCACGGCGGCAAGCACCAAGGCAATTGCGGGTTCTCATGCCCTCACGGAGATCCCCGAACGTGTGAAGGATCATGAGGACGAGAGAGCCCCACGGCGGGGAGCCTACCTTCCAGTTCGGACTTCGAAGCATGTAAGGCGGAAAGCGCCCCTATCGCGGAAACAGCGGTCAAGGCTTTCCCTAAGGAGTGCCCAACAATGTAAGTTGATTGCGACATAGTACTTGGGCGTCAGTCGCCAGTTGATGGTGGTGTAGTACCTGAGAGACGACCAAGTGTGGACTGACCATGGCGATGACTAAGTTGACTTTCAGATTCTGGGAGAGTTCCTTAAGCTTTCTAGTAATTCCCGTGTCTGGATCATTGTACTTGATGGCCATGGGAACATCCGGCCATAATTGTTGCACCTTTTTTTTTGTAGCTTGTAGCCACCATATGTAAAATTCGAATGAATATTACCTTTTAATTCATATGTTTCCTTTTCTATACTTTGCATTACGAATACTTAGCAATTTATTCGGGGATTTGGCTTCTCTAACCTCCCGGGGGGCGGTTAGGCTGGCGTGGCCGAGCCTAT